GTATCGCCACCAATCGACGTCAGGAGCATCGCCTGCATCACCAGCGGCCCCGGCGCCCCGAAGGCTTCACTGGCGATGCCGCCACCGGAGGCGACGGCGGCAGCGGCCGCGGACGATGACATCAGCCCGCGGGTCACGGGAACGGCTGACGGCGCACCGGAGGCACTATCAGTGGAAATGGCTGTAGCCGTTGATTCGTGGCGCGGCGGCCGTAGCTGCGCGGAGAACGACCCGCCGTGCTTCCCTGATGGCGGCGCCGCCATAAGGCCCGCCGCTGCCGCCGCCAACCCCGTATCCGACGCGCCCGTGTGTTCGCAGGTCCGTGTGGGACCATCGATGGGGCTGGCGCTAACTGCAATACTGAGATCGGTTCCGGAGCCGCCCATCCCCAATAAGACCACCAAAGGCGCATTCGTGGCGGCGCTGTCCGCACGGGATAGCGGCGACGCCGCCAGACGTCGCTCCAGGGGCGCAAAGGTATTGTGAATGTGGTGGTTATGGTGGTTGGTACTCTCGCAGCTGCCTGCACGACCTGCCGATCCGGCCCCGCCGCCGCCGGCGTGGTCGGCAGCGGAGGAGGAGCTGGTCGTCGCCGCCGCGAGTGCCGCGGCGGCCGCCGCTGCAGCGTTGGCCGCGGTGGCGTCTGCCGCCACGGCCTGGCCCGTTGTCGGCGTCGCGTGCTGCTGCAGCAGCAGCGCCGACAGCGCGCCGGTGGTTGCCGTGAAGACGCTGAGGTTGGAGGGCAGCTGCTGCGACGTCAGGGGGTTCCGGCTGTTGTCGCGGCTGGGGCTGTAGCAGGAGCTGCTGGGTGGCGTCGGCAGGTCCTGTCGGCAAGCAGGTGGCCAGACGGACATACATACAAGACGCGCATGCAAAGCCAGGGAAGCCATGGGCGGTGAGAGAGATGACGTGTTAATGTTAATGCGGGTAATGTCCCAATCAGGGAACGAAAGGATGCTCGGACGGAGATGGTCTGATCTCAGCGGCTTGACGTGCCGCAGCGCCGTACCAGACAGACACGGACACGGACACGGACACCAGACAGAAACACCTCCGGCACCGACACGGACCCATGGGTCACGCCAACTCACCGGCACAGTGGACAGCACACTAGGCAGTCCTAGCTGCCCAGCGGCAGGCCTCGCGCGAGCTATCCCCGAGCTCACGAGCACCAGCCCCCGGTGCCGACCATTGCCGCCGCCGTAGCCACTGCTGCTACCGCCGCCGCCGTCGCCGGAGCGTCGCAACCCAAAGTTAAGGCTGCCGCCGCCGCTGCCGCCGCCGCTGACAGGGCCGCTGTCGCTGC